TTGAACATTTAATTTTTGACAAATTTTCACTAGAGTGAATAATATTACGATGAACATCTTTGTGCCTTTGTAATGTCCGTGGTAATAAAAAAAAAGACTACATTTAGTTGAATGCTTATTACTAACCAGGTTAGGCCAACATTTTTCTTGCCTTCCTTGTGGAGTTTGATGAGGAATAAATGAGAAAATGTACGTAAAAAGTGTTACGTTTAATAACTCACTTAATCCCTTTAACAACTCCATGATACAGAGACCATTATCATCTCCATTTCTGAGAAACCCAGGGCACAGACAGGCTAAGTAGCTCGTCCAAAGCTCCATGACTAGTGAGCATTAGAATACATACGCTATACATCCGGAGATTAGGCAATACACTGTACTGCTCTCAGTCTGCTTTTCTGGTGATTTTCCTAAATTTATATCCTTAGAAGGATAATCCTGAGTTAAAGGGCTTGACTTATTTTAAATCTCATGATAAGAATTGCCAGATTGCTTTCCAGAAGCAGTGAGCCCTTCCATCAGCAGGGTATGAGGGCTTTATTTTATTTTACCACTGTCAACAATGAAGAATCCAAATCCTTAATCAGACCCATGGTAAAGAACAAGTAATCTATTTCCTCGTCTTCCGTGAGGCATTAAGAACATCAGTTGTTCTTAAGCAGAAGGCTTTCCTTTCCTTTTTTTTTTTTATCATGCTCAATTATTTCCAGATCATCTTCTACATCCACCTATATTTCAGAGAAGGATTTTTTGTTGGTGAAATGAACGCATCCACGAGGGTAGAGTGAGGGCATGGACCAGGAACCTTATACTGCATCGGGAGCCGTATAAAGCAGTGAGTGAAAACCTAGCAGAATGAAAGTCCTCCAAAATTAGGAAAGGGACAATTTGGACAATCGGGAGCTTTTCCAAAAATCTTTACTGTAGGGTCTTCCTTAGTAACAGTTGAATTGCTTGTTTAATAAACATTGACTGAATACTCCTACCTGTTGGTTGCTATCATATGCTGGGAAACACTGACTTTTAATATTGGAAGAAACTTTAGGATTGTCTGACTCCACCTCTTATTTCAAGGAGGAGGAGCTTAAAGCCACTGCAGCCCATTCAAGACATGTCCCTCTTCTGGGCGTGTGGCTGCAGAAGCTGGGGGTCCTGTTATCCTTTGTGGTCGGAGGAGCCCTTCAGAACTGTCTTAAAAGGCACCTGGGGTTACTTTGCATTATTCTAGCATTGACTTGGACTTGCTCTCACCTTCAAATAACTCAGTATGTCATTCATTTCTGAACTCTGAAGGATTTCTTTGTAAAACCAAGAAGCCTTTCACTCAGTTTTGACCTTTGGCACAGCATTGAACCTCTCCAAGTTCATTTCCTTATCATCCGCTCTTCCACATAGGTTATTGTGAGGCTTACATGAACCAAAATATGTAAAATTCTTACTGAAATACTTCCACAGAATAAGCACTCAGTAAATACTGGCTCCGGTCTCCTTCCCTCTCCTGTGCCCTCTGTTCTTGTTTCTTCCCAGGAAGGTGTGCAGTTGTGGGACCTTTCTGAGCCTCCATATCCTCACCTGGAAAAAAAAAAACAGATTCTACTTTACTATAATTCCCTCCATAGGGTTTTAGTGGGGATCAAATGAGGTGATCTGTGCAAAGTAGCCAGCACAGTACCTGGTCAATAATTTGTATCTGTGATTACCTCATACCTGTTAATGTGCTTCAAGTCAGTTGTTTAATTGGCTGGGTTCTTTCAAGGAATAGCTTCTATGCACTTGACTTTCAGTCCTGTTGAATTTAGATAAGGATAAAATCTATACACAGAGAGTATAACACTTACATTTTATGAGGTATTAATTTCAAACCAGTTATCTTCAATTTCTGTGGTTTTTCTTTCATCTTTAATTCTTCTTTCCTTTTCTCACACTCTTCATTTTTTTTTTCTCTTGACAATGACTGGTGTGCTCTTCTTTATGATGTAGTGTGAGGGATAATTTGTGACAGTGACGAGCAATTGAAATCACTGTCACCAGGCCTTGTGTCTTCTTGGTTGTTACATCTGATGGATTGGTCCTCCTGGCCTTTGGCAGCATTTAACTGCTGAATCCTCCCCTCCCTGGGCCTCAGGGACATAACTCCGTTTTTGCTTCCTTTTTGGCTTCTCCTCAAATCCTTCAGGGTCTTTTTCTCTTCTTTGGCCTGCCTCTTCAGTTCTGAAGTTCCCTTGAACTTCATGTGCAGCCATCTTTCCCCCCTCACTTCCCACTCTTTTTCTGAGCAATCTTCTCTCCTCCAGTGATAATTTCATCTTTATTGTACTGAGTCTGACCGAAATCTGTGTCTCCGACCTAGACCGTTTGGCAGCATCCCATGGTTGGGCACCTTCTCTTGGCAAGTCCAGCTCTAAGTGTAGAGAACAGAACCCACCATCATTTTCCCCCCAGCCAGCTCCAGTTCCAACCCTTAACTATTGTGCAACTACCAGTGTGAAAATGATCAGTCCACACAGCACAGTAGAGTGAATAAATTAGGTATTTTGCCATTTCTGAGTAAAATCTCTCTTAGTTTTCAGATGTCACCTTCTTTATGAAGACTTTCATTCAGCCCACCATTCCCTTTTCTGTACTGTCTGTGCATTGTTGTAGCATCTATTTCATCCCATTGCTGTGCTTCATTCACGTTTCTTTTCTTCTAGACTAGGGGTCAATAAACTTTTTGGGGAAAGAGCCAGAGAGTAAATATTTTAGGCTTTGTGGGCCATATGGCCTCTGTTACAGCTACTCAGCTTTGCGGTTTTAGTGTGAAATCAGCCATAGACAAAACAGCAACGACGAGTGTGGCTGTGTTCCAATAAAACTTTATTTACCAAAACAGGCAGTAGGCTGGATTTGACCCATGAGCCGTGGTTTGCTGCCCACAGTCCTAGGCTGTAGATTCTTAAAGAGTTACTTTGACTTGCCGGAAGCTGTTAGAGGCCTGAGTATCCAAAGTCAAATAAGACTCAGGCCCCGGCCTCACGGAGACTGCCTGGAAACCTAGCACAGCTGCCGTGATGGAGGTGTGGACTAGTCTCCTGGGGCCACCATAATACAGTACCTTAAGCTGAGTGGCATATTGTCCCACAGTTTTGGAGGCTAGAAGTCCAGAATTGAGGTGTTGGCAGGGGTTGGTTCCTTTTGAGAGCTGTAAGGGAGAATTTGTTCCATGCCTCTCTCCTGGCTTCTGGTGGTTTACCCGCAATCTTTGGCATCTTTGTTGGCTTGTACGTGCATCAATTCAGTCATCCACCTTCAAGGGGATATCCCTCCATATCTCTTAGCATTATCTTCCTTCTGTGCAACTCTGTCTCTATGTTTAAAAGTCCCCTTTTTATAAGGACACCAGTCATATTGGATTAGGGCCCATCCTCATGATCTCATTTTAACTTGATTACCTCTATGAAGACCCTATTTCCAAACAAGGTCAGATATGCTGAAGCACTGGAAATTAAAACTTCCACATATTAACTTTGGGGGACAAGGCATATGTGTTTACGGTGTGTGCCTTAGGTGAGGAAGAGTCATCCCTTGGGGTGGTGGGAGAGAAGGAAAAAGAAGCCACACAAAAACCCTACAACATTTGGCCTGGAAGGATGACTGGTATCTTGCTAGACTGAAGAAAAGGGAAAGAGAAATCCAGGCTAAGCAAATGCACAGGGGAAGGATCATAAAGACTGTATATTGACTAATAATTATCCTGGTGCAGCCACAGAGTGGTGAGATTGGTGGAAGGGGCTCACGACAATGCTGGAAAGATAAGCTACGGCCAAACTCCGTGTGTGCAGGCTGAAAGAGTTGCTTGCGCAATGTTTGTTGAGTGAATGAACTAATGAAGTTAAAAGAGAATGGTGATGACTAATTGGCAGCCATGAACTCTGTCTCTTTCAACGTCAGGCGCTCACTCATAGTCGCAAATACTTGTTAGCGTCTGGGCTGTTACCTTACAGCTCCTTCTTTCACCAACACTTGCTTGGGCTCACAGCTCCCTTGTAATTTTCGTGCTTCTGTGTCTACTAGAAGAATTCAAGGACAGTATAGCTGGAGGTCTAATTCATAAGCAGATGTTCTTTGATGTACATGTGCCACATGTTTATTTTTCACTAGTAAAAACATTTGTTGAATGTTTACTTGGCGCCAAACACTTTTCTAAGCATGTTATATATTAACTCATTTAATTTGCACATGCCTCCACAAAAGGCTCTTATTTCCGTTTAATACATGAGGGAATTGAGGCTCCGAGGGATGAACTGGCCCAATGTAATCCAGCTGGTAAATAACTGACTTTTAACCGGTAGGCAATACCCCCTACCCCGCTGCCTGCCTCTTTCTTTGTGGCCCATCTTGGACCAATCAACCTGCTTCTGTTTGCCTCCACACCAATTAATGTCTGACATTCTGATTCTTTTTTTTTTTTTTGGTCAGGGGGAGGTTTAATTTTCTTTTTTAACAGATGTACTGGGGATTGAACCCAGGACCACGTGTACGCTAAGCATGTGCTCTGCCACTGAGCTATACCCTTCCTGTCTGACATTCTGATTCTTGTCCATCTCTCACTTCCTCTTCTCCTCCTGTCTTATACTTTTCCTCACACCTTGGCCTCTCTTTCACTCTTTCTACATTGGCTCATTGGCTTCCCTACTTTTGGTGTCAGCAATAGATCATTAATTTAAAGTACTCTTTATTTTTCTCAATGGTAACCAAATTCCAGCTGCACATAAAAACGTAGCCCCTGCAGATCTTACTGCTAATCCATTCCCTGTTGAGGAGGAGCCGGGGGGTGTAAAACGGGTTGCATGTTCAAATATAAAAATATGAAATGTTTTAGCCATGTAAGTTCCATTAATGAGGATTATCACAGTGCTGAGAATAACAAACTTTGAGAACAGTGTACAAAATGCTCCCGTATCTTGTGCTGGTGGCATAATTTTCTGGATTACTGCTATTCTGACATCACCCGTGCCTGACTTCGCCAGTACATACTGTTCGGTATTGAAGCTTGAGAATATTTTCCTAAATTTGCCATTTCTGATTTTATCGCAGGAATAACTTTAGAGAGAGCTCGCGGCTGATCATCTCGCTGGAATAAAGGCCATGAACTCTGTTCTGAGGCAAGCTTTGGAATCTTAGAGGAGTAAGTCTTGGGAGGAATTCTGGGATGGTGGTGGGCGGGAGGAGGGGTGGACAATGGGGCCATTTTCAAAAGCATCACCCTTGATGAAGTTAGATTTTTTTTCTTTCCCTATAGAGCGTCCTTGAGATGCCCTCACACTCTTTTCTGGTAACTTTCTTGGATAGAAAATAAACAGAGGACTTTTGGCTCCTGACCCCACTGTACCTACAGAAAGCAGCTTTTTAGGACTTGCAAGCGGCTTGTGTGTGTATGAGTGTGCGTGTTTGGCAGGAATTTTCTGGAGAGGCATGAAGCACTACTTGAATTCCCATGGATGCTGCTTGTTCCTCAGAATGGAAAATGTTCTATTTTTGGCCACAAGAATATTTCCGAGGGGAAAAAAAAATTAAACAAAGCATGGTAACAAGTTCATGTGTGTCATTTTCCGAGTTTGAAGTCGTTTTAAGAGTTGAATGCGTTTTGAGGGGAGAAGAGCAGCTCCCTGGCTTTCTGGGTCTCAGAGGGATAAGAGGAACTATTCAGTTTGGATTCCTGGGTTCGGACATGAGGACTCTGGGCGGCAGAGAGGCTATATGGGTAGGCGGGTCCCCGCAGAGGCTGTGAAGCCTGCAGCTCGGCCTTTGATGGCAGGCAGATGGACTGGTATAGAGAAAACTGCCTCTTGCATCTGAAAAAGGAAAACGCTGAAAAAGATGGGTGTTCTCCACCCACCATAAACCTATCTTGGATTGTAAGGTAATACTCATCTCAAAGCAAGGCAGCCCCCATGGCACCCCTGCCTTAGGGTTACAGTTGGCCACAAGCCTTTCAGGGGAAGGACTTCCAGAGGCAGGTTTCCAGCAGAATCTGATCTCAAGGCACATCATGGTGAACGAAATCTGTTTGGGCCCTTCCCCCACCAGATCCCTTTCCAGGAAACAGCATTTCTTTTCTTTTCTTTTCTTTTTTTTTTTTTTGCTGCTGTGTAATATGCTTGATATGAAAATTGAGAAAGCAGACGAGCACCCGTCAACCAGCACTTCCTAAGGAGCACTGCCTACTGGAGGCTGTCTTCACAGGAGCCCAACCAGCCCGGCCCAGGGGCCAACGGGAGGGTCTTGAAGGAGAAGGGGCCATTTAGCAGAAGTGGCTGGCGTGCCTGGGAAGAGTGAGCACAGAACCTGTAAGACCCTGAGTTACCCTGGCAATGGAGCTGGGCCCTTTGGCTCTGATTAAGAAACCCAGGCCCGTTTAGAGGGAGCCATGTCATCAGATGCCCTGAAGCAAACTGGGGTGGAGTCCTGGGAGGCAGCCCGGGGTTTTCTCTCCCCGTCGCGCTGTTGAAATCTTGAATTCCAGTTGGTGGTTTCTTTCATCCACTTGAAGCCTAGCCCTCGGGTACAGACGCAGCCGTGCTTCTGGGTAACGTTTAATTCTTGGTAGGAAGGACTCTTCTCATGAAAAGGTTTGACATCTTTGGAGTTATGAAAGGAAGGGCTGATGAGGAGACCTGTTATGACTCGGTCCCTATTCTTGAAAACAGCTCTGCGTCGATGTGTTATGAGTTTGGGAATTTTTCTTCTTGGGCTCCAGTCTTTTGAAACACGTGCTCAAGATTGAGGAACTTGCATTGTACTGGTTTAGAAATGTATACAGACGGGGCCGAGCAGGCATCTTTTCTTGGAGCCAGCTGGATTTCTCGTGTCTTTATGCTTGTTTATTCAACATATAGGCACCATGCATCTAGTCTGTGCCAGGCACAAGGACAAACACAAGAGACACAGCGTCTGCCAGTGTAAGGTGTATGGTCTGGTGCAGGCGGCAGACAGTACATAAATACAGTCACATCCTGGGACGTGCTATGAAAAAAAAGAACAGGGTGCTGAGAGAGAGAATAATGATAGATATACTTTAGAAAGAAAGAGTGGGCAGGGATGACTTTTCTGGGAGGGTGAAATTAAAGTTAAGATTGAAAGAAGCCAGTAATGTGAAGAAAGGAGGGTGGGCATGAGATGTCCAGGCAGAAGAAATAGCAAGTGCAAAGGCCCTGGGGTGAGATAGCTGAGCATGTTTGAGGAGGTTAATTACGCCTGGGAAGAAGAGGAGCAAAGTGTGTGAGGATAAGGCTGAGATGAGCTTGGAGGGTGAGCCAGTGGGCTGGATCACATAGCACCTTTTGGCCAATAAAAGGAGCATAAAATTTATCCGGAGTATCGGAAAGGCACTCAGGAGCTTGAAGCAGGGGTGTGACATGATCTCTTTCAGTTTTGAAAGAACACCAGCTGCTGTGTGGGGAATGGATGAGGATGGAGGCAACAGTGGAGAAAGGGAGGTTCCAGAGGCTTTAGGAAGCTCCTAGCAGAGCGAGGTTCTTCCACTCCCAGCCCCAGACTCTCGACTGCTCTCAGCAGATAGTCCTGTTGACCTTTTGGCTTTACCCTGTCACTCTGGTTTACACCCTGTGCTAAAAAATGATTTTGAAAAAGATGAAATTTTGACTCTTAGGAAGCATAAAAGGGACATAAGTCAACGATTTTATTTAACTCATTAATTAGTGAGGGGGTCAGTAAGATGTTGTGGCTTGCTTAAAAATGAGCTAAGAAGCAAGGCTGTTTACAAGGCAGTTTAATAAAGCAATGTTAGGATAAGATGACTGGGTTAGATATAAACTGGTTAATGCTCAACCAGCCATAAATCTTAGAGGTTATCTGTTCCACGGGACAGAAATTATTTGCATCTCTACCAGACAAAAATCTATAAGATAACGGGTAACTTCACGAAGTCAGGGACCTTTAGTCAATAGCAAATAATGAGATGAACCAAGTACATTCTCCTAGAAAAGAGGCCTTGAGTGGCTGTGGGAAGACGTGCCTTTTTTCTTTTTTGCCATATTTCTAAGTTTTGTTTATTTTTATGACAGTTTCTTAGAGCAGCACCACTAGGTACAATGCCCTTTGTTAAGATGTTTATAGACAGCCTAGGGAGAGAGAGGAAAATGAGTAAGGAGTGGATCAATTATAATGCAACTCCACCTCTCCCAGAATGAGCTGGAATTCAGTCATTTATCAGACGTATGTGGAGCCTGACCACAGATACGCAAGACCTTGTGGGAAGCTGTGGGAACACAGAGCTTCATACAAAACAGTTCCTGCCCTGTGAACCTCACAGTCTAGACAGGGCAACAGACACTTTAACCGGTACATTCCAGTCCATCGCAGTTAGGACCAAGTAGCGATGCGGAGTTTGTGTAGGCGCCAGAAGGGAGTGGTACCCTCACTCTGGGAGCATCAAGGGCCCTTCCCAGAGAAGGTGCATTTCAGCTGAGTCCTGAAGGATTGGAAAGGGTTGCCGGTTGACAAGGGCTGGGGCAGGGAGAGCCATTCAGGCAGGATGTCAACTACCCACTTGAGAAGTAGCGTGGATGCCCATAAAGAGATTGGCCTTTTGGGTTACGGCGGATTTAAAATTTTCTCCTCAATTCTCACTGCTAGTCACAAAATTCTAAGATTCTGTGGGGTTGGGAGGGAAGCGGGGTGGAAGAGGGAAGGAGAAGTGGAGTCTCTTGGGCAAGCTTGCATAATTTTCTTTAAATATTAGGTCAAATTCTCTATAAAAACCCTATTTAAAACTTTTAAAAAGACTTTGAAGTCCCAGAGAAGCAGGAAGTTAATTAGAGTGGCTTTGATATCTTTGGGTATGTTTTAACAGCTGCTTAAGACAGTTTAAACAATAAGAACTTATGTGGTTTGGGATGCGTCTCTGATAGCTCTGGCCAGAGTGAAATATCACTGCATCTGAGAGTAACAGCAGTTGGCTTTAATTTTAGAAAGAGTTCAGGCCAAAAAGTTCTCTAAAACCCAAGAGAGGAACTTCTAAAGAGGAAGATTGCTCCTAGAGAATGTGTTTGGTGGGTGAAAGATGAATTGAGTAGGGAACAAGTGATCTTAACTGGGTTCTGGGAGGAGCACAGGGCTTGCCCATTTCTGAATAATTCTCTTAAGGTGGATTTAACCAAGGGTATTTGTTGGCACCTGCCATTTGTAAAGGGGTCTCAGTGGGGTGGATTAGCATCTCTAAGGACCACTTGAACAACACAAAGGGAGTCCAACCAATTTAAATTTTCTGGGGATTGTCATTGTGCTTCAGTTAACACTTAATTTGTTTCCCTGGTCAACACCTTCAGCCTTCTTAATTATTTCCTCAGACCCTGCCCCTGACTGGCTCTCCTCCAAGCTGAGGAAGAGCACGCTGAGGAATCTTATGATAATAAGGAGCTGCCTGTGGGTCAGATTTCAAGAGATGCTGGGGAGGGCCTCCTCTGGAGGCCCCATGTGGGCAGCCTGCAAGGCTTCTGCTGCTGCTGCTGCTGCTGCTGCTGGTGATGATGACAGTGGTGCTGGTGGGAGTGGTGGTGATGATGACGGTGATGTTAGCTAACGCTGGGAGAGTACCAGTTATATGATAAGCACCCTGCTGGGCATTTTACACCCATTCAGTAGGTATTTTACTCCCATTTTACAGATGAGGAAACTGAGTCTCAGAGACTGCAGTGACTTGCCCATTCTTCCATCTACCCATCAAGTAAGTCTTTGGCTTCTATAAAGCCCGCTACATCCTAGCAATTTGTACCATAGTGTGTTGCCGCCTCTTTCCCCATATGCAAAAATGGACTAGAAGCCTAGAAGTGGGTTGTAGACAACTACTTTTGGTGATGGGCCAGCAGCTGGTTGACAGATGACCTTATCAGCCCAGTCAAGAGACAGATTTATCTTCCAACAATATTACCTTGGGCAGGTTGCACCAGTCTTCCAAGGACTTTCCATTTTCCACAGAATAAATATCAAAGTTTTCTGCCTGGGCGATACAGGCCAGGCCACTCTGCAGGTCGCTCTTGGTGGCGAAGGGCTTGAGTCCTCGCTTGCTAGTGCAGTTGGGGACTGTTTGTGAAGGATGTTGTTTGTTTCTTTAAAAAAGTGCCACCACTACGTCTTTTCTAAAGAAATGCTTGGATTCATTAATAAAATAAAGTGAAGTGAAAAGAAAACCGCATGAGACCACACTTGGCCAGCATGTATACGCAGGCTGCAGGGACCGGGAAGAGATGGCGGGCAAGAGTCCCTGCGTATAGAGATAATCTGACGAGTTTGAAAATGTTCATTTTTGGTGTAATATCTGCATGAAGTACTTCAAAACAGTTAGCTCTGTGAGTGGGCTGCGTTTGTAAGTGGGGGAATGTGATAAAATGTTCATGCACAGACAGTGGTGAACCTTTCTTGATAAATTGTTGTCCTCAAACTAGTAAAATTTTTTTTTACAATATGTACATATCTTTACATATATATGTGTGTGCGTGCATGCGTGCGTGTGTGTGTGTGTATAATTTTTTAACCTCTGTATACAAATATACAAGTGAGTGAATGGTCTGCCCAAACCCACTGGGGGAAAAGGTACAAAAGGTGCATAAGGAAAGTTCTGACAGAAAACACGAAGGGAGCGATCTCCTCTCTTAAACAACAGCTACTGTCTGTGCAGGGGAGAGGGCTCTGACCCAGTGTTCTCGGCCCCTGTGTCTGCACGGATGGACGGACAGGCGGGAGGTGCAAAAGGCAAGGAGAAGAGGGGGCGAGGCAGCTTCTCTCCTGTCCTGCACTCACGGGCGTCTTGCCTCGTTCTCGGGGAGCCCCTTGTGCTCACTGCCTGTGAGGTGTTCTTTGGGGTCACAGTCTACTTTGATTTTACAGTTTGTGGTAGGTTCTGACTTCTTTGTCTGATCTATTGGGATAGGTTTTTTCCCCCACATCTTGACTGCATGGATTTGGGAGGAGAATTTTGTCTAAGGTCCACATATTGTCTCTGAAAAACAGAAATTGTTCTGCTCTTCTTTGGATTTAGGTTTGGCTGTATCTGTTTTTTTCAGTTGGTCCTTGAAGTGCCACCAATAGTCTATGGATGGGTGATACCGACCCATAGACTCGCTCCATCAAAAGCAGACTGAAGTCTGTGCACTGCAGTGAGCACTGTGACGTTCACAGCTGATCCCAGATCTGTCACCTGAGAGCTCACGCCAGCAGTGACATGTTAGCAGTCAGCTGCTAGGATGACGTGGGTCGGGGGCTGGCTCTGCTGCTTCCAGAAGCTAAAAAGAACAGGCTCTTGAGCATGAAAAACGACACTCCACCTTTCCCACTTCAACCACCTCGTTTCAGAATTCTAGTGCTTCAAATTTCCAACACATACTAACCTTCAGTTTTAGGGATGAGAAATTAGAACTCCCCAAATCCTAAGTAATTCTTAAACTACGTAAGCATTCTTCATATTATCATGAATATCTAAGAAAATGTATTTAGTAAATAAATAAATGTATTTAATAAATGTATTAAATAAGAAACATCATGTTTAGTAGTATTTGCAAGGAACTACAGCCTGCAGCAAATATTCAAATGCTTGAAAAGTGCTGGCAAAAATTATTGTGTAGTATTTGGATAATGTAACATTAGATCTGCCAACAAGTTTAACAGCACAACAGAATATCATGTTGAAACTGCCCATTAAAGTACTTGTTTTACTTCCAAAACTTTATTTTTTGGTATACTCATTTTTAATAAAGTATATATGCATATAGATTCATTAATATTACTTTTCCCCCTCAAAACAACTCACTGTTGACAGCAAATAGGACACTTATAACATGGCAACGGCTACAAAGAAAGATTGACTGATTGGACTGGGGCAGCTTCCCTCCAGCGTGAAACTGGCCCAGTTCCCTGAAACGTTGGTCTTAACCCTTGGCTACACGCGTCAGCCGTCCTGACCTTGCTTTCTGCTTGATGTCTGTGGATCCCTTTAAACCAGTAATGTTACTTAGTCGATTGCCAGGCTTTAGTTTTCTTGGCGTAATTATAATATTTTTCCAATTTTCTCAATTTCTTGACCAACTTTTGTTGGGGTTTTGGATTCAGAAAAAACCATAGTAATTTCTAGAGATATACTGGGAAGGAATTCCCTCGTGGACACAGTGAAGTATTTGAATGTTAATTTCTCTGTTCTACCCACTTTCTTATTATATGTCTAGTCTTGGAAAGGATCAGTCTTTCTGGGAGTAATCCAGGACACCACCACTCTTCAGAGGGGGACTGAGGCTACAAATAACAAATATTGGTGAGGAAGTGGAGAAAAGGGAACCCTTGAACACTATTGGTGGGAATGTAAATTGGTACAGCCGCTGTGGAAAACAGTGTGGAGGTTTCTCCAAAAACTAAAAATAGAACTACCATATGACCCAGCAAGTCTACTCCTGGGTATATATCTGAAAAAACCAAAACCACTAATTTGAAAAGATACATGCACCCCAATGTTCATCACAGCATTATTTACAATTGCCATGAATAGATGAATGGAAAAGAAGACATGGTATATGTATACAATGGAATACTACTCAGGCATGAAAAGGAATGAAATTTTGCCATTTACAGCAACATGGATGAACTTAGAGGGCATTATGCTAAGTGAAATAAGTCAGACAGAGAAAAGCAAATACTGTATAACAGCACTTACATGTGGAATCTAAAAATTACAACAAACTAGTGAATATAACATAAAAGAAGCAGACTCACAGATAAAGAGAACAAACAAGTGGTTACTAGTGGTGGGGGTGCATGGGGTGGGGAAGTGGGAGGTACAAACTATTGGGTATAAGATAGGTTTAAGAGTGTGTTGTACAATACGGGGAATATAGCCAATACTTTGTAATAACTGTAAATGGAAATAACCTTTAAAACTTGTGAAAAAATAAGAAAAATTTTTAATTAAAAAAAACTTAAAAAATTGGGACTGAAGAACTGTCAACTCGAAAAGTCTCCAGTAGCCGATCTTGGATATCCACCCTACCTAATGTTATTCAGTGGTGTGTGTGGGGGGTCTTCCTCCAGCAAAAGGCTACTTTAAAAATGTGAAAGTTGAACCACAGCAAGCAGGGGAACTTCATAACTGGAATGGGTTAGTGTATAGCACCCATCTGGGAGCCCTGTGGGTCTTTGGTGAAAATGGCTGTGTTCAGGCCACGTTGAAGACCTTGATGTTGGTGACCTCATTTTCTCATGGAGCATAGACTAAATGTGTAGTAAAGAATAAGCACGTCAGACCACCTGAGATGAAGTCCTGGCCCTAACAAGTTGTGAGCCATGGAGCAGGTTGCTTAACTTCTCTAGACCTCAAGTTTTCTTGTCTGTGTTGACCTCACAGATCATGACATGTATAAAGATTTAATGAGATAATACTTACGTGGGCGTGAAGATTAAATGAGATAATGCCTGTCACAGTGCCCTGGCACAGGCTAACTATGAACTAAGAGGAAACTGCTGTTGTATTCTTCCCTCTAGAAAAGATCACGTGGGATCACTGAGAGTACATCTTACCAGCATTTCCATTCATCACTGAGAGGTCTAGGTGCCCACAGCTAGGTGACAGGCAGGCTGGATATGGTTCAGAGTCCTGCCACCTCCCTTGGCACTGCAAATTTCTAAAATGGTTTTGCTGTGCTCAAACTGAGTCCAAAAAATGGTGCCAGGAAATGACCTTATGTCTGGTAACTCTTCATCTTGATGCGTGATAACACTTCAGGGGCAGCGTTGGACGTAAGCCTCATTGCGAAAGCAACTGCAGGGGACGGGCTGAAGACATGGGAGTCTGGGCAGCCTTGAGGCCAACTGCAGAGCAGGGCAGACCCCCATACCCAGGACAGGCTACCTGGGTGTTCTGCCCACACTCTTCTTGGACATTTTAAGCAGTGGGTACAGGTTTTGTAAGATGAAGGGCCACCTGGGAAGAGTTTGTCTTTCTGAATTTATCTTAAAAAGATACAGGACTCTCAGATATGGTCACAGAATCTGCGTCAGAGCTCCCTGAGTAGCTTTGTTATGGAGCAGTCAGGAAACAGTTTGCGTCAGGGTATGGTGGAAGGTTCTAGGTTAAGAGTACTACTGTAGGCTTAAAGAACCACCTTCTTCTTTTACCAGCTCTGTGGTGTTGAATGAGTTACTTGTTATCTCTCATGTTCTGTTTCCTTGGTTATGAAATGGGAATAATAATTGTACCTATCTCATAAGGCTGTCTTGAGGATTATACAAATAGGTGAAAAAGCTCTCAACACAGATTCTGGAACACGGTAGACACTCAAGAAATATAAGCTTTTTTTATTATTACAGTTGAGTCAAGGAGGTGGACGAATACGCCTTGACATACTTAAATGTTGCATGACTTGAATTCAAAAGTAATTTTTTCATTAAAAGTATCGTAAAGAAGGGAGTGAGATCAGTTTGGTCAACCTTGGGGATGTAGTTTTTCTATTCTGCTGGGCTGTATTCACTCACGTGGCGTGGTGTTCCCGGGCGTGGACAGCAGGAGAGGTGGGGTGGGTTGATGAGAAGTAGGGAGGAGCACAAGGACCCACCGTGGGAGATGCGGGCGGGGCTGTAGTGGTGGGGACTCCCCAGCATCACCAGAGGTTAACAGCGGGGCGAGCTCCTTCAGTTGTGTCCTGTCCTTTGTTTAACTTTTTCTAATCCTGGTCTAGATAAGATTTTTAAAAGAGACTCTTGAGTTGTCGCTCACTCATAAGGTTTTTAGGCAGCACCCCAGCCCATCATGTGCAATGCCGTGCTGGCAGGAAAAGTCTTTGCCAAGACCCAGTCTATCAGCAGTTGATCAAATAAAATACCAGTGATGAGACTTCGGGGGATGCACACATCACATCTGCTGAGGGCTAGATGAAAAATTATTCTTCAAGGATGTTCTGCCTAGATTCTGCCAGAGATGGAGACTCCTAGAAGACCTCATTTTCTATCTATCCTTGCATTTCTAATATATTAGTTTTTCAAATGAAATCAAAAGGAATGTGACACTGGAAGCTTCCAGAGCCTTCTTTTCAGGCTACGTCATGAATACTGCTGAGCTCATGAGCGGTTCCCACTGCTCACGAAGAATGTGCAATCAGCAGTGTCTGGCTGTAGACAGCTCTTAGGATGTCTTCCCAGATAACGATGGACCCCCACTGCCAGAGGGAGAGATGGATTCCCAGCACCCATATAATGGAAATTGTGTGATCCCCGCCCCTTCCTGGAATGATTTCTGGTTTGGTGCTTGAATGATAATAGTAACATCCCAATAATAACCATAACTATTTTGAGGGTCTTCTATGCGTCGGCTCTATCACTAGATACTTAACTTATTTCCTTTCATCCTCAAAACTAGTTAAGTATCAGTATCTCTAGGTCACAGATGAGGATAGCAGCTTGGAGAGGTTCATTCATTTGCTAATAAAATAATTGGAATTGAGATTTAAACCTAGGGCTGTTTGCTTTTAACTGCTAAACAGTGGCTTAAGTGGACGTGACCATAGCATCAGCTCGTTTTCAAGGACTGGAGTTACATGGTTCATGTTAACTGCTTAATAGAATTATTCAAACTTGGGAGAGGTCACTGAATGTTAATTCTAATTAACAACATGCTACAAATTTACACAGTGCCCATTACAGTCGCTAATTCCCTGACTTCAGTTTGATTTGTAAACAAGTATTTATCGAGTGCTTACTATATGCGCACACTATACTGGGGGTCATGGATACTGAGAATAAAATACTGTTGCTGCTCTCGGGAAAAGTATGGTGTGGTAGGGTAGACAAATATGTAAACAGGTACCTTCAACTTCATGTGCTGAGAATGCAGAGCTCATTAGGAGCCTGGCAACGGGGAGGATGGATGAACCTGACTGTGCAAGGAAGGAAGAGCAAGAGTTAGTTACATGCAGAGAGATGGGAAAGGATGGCTATGCAGAGAGAACATGTAAAAAGACACAAAGGTGGGAAATGACAATGTGAGTGGTTCTGGGATCCTAGCATATATATTTTAAGCTAGGAAATGGGGCTGGAGACAAATATGAAGGTATAGACTTTATTCTGTAGGCCATGGGGGAGCCACTTAATGGGGAAATCGCAGGGTGGAGGGTGGGTTTAAGAGAAGCAGAGAGTCGTCAGGATTAGAGCAGGGAGATTAGGTGGGAGGCTATTAAGAGGCCCAGACTTAAACAGTCATGGTGGGATGGAAAGAAGGGAGGAATTAGAGGAACATCCAGGACGTCAGACTGCAGGATCTGTAACTGAAAGGTGATGAGGAGTGGGAGGGAAGGAGTCTTGGAGATTACCCTTTGCTGCGGTAAATCCTGAGTAAACACGCTTCTTCCCCTGGGAGTTCTTGTTCTAGAAGGTAATTCTTTCAGAAGGATTAATTAGACAACTGTATCGGCTTCTAGTGCCCAGCAGAGAAACTAAGTAGTCAACCTAAAAAAGTCAGCAGAGATATTGTAGCGCTTAGCACCGCTGCGTCTCAGGTTTCCCAGGCCGTATAAGCAGTGCTTGCTCCATTGGCTTGACCTAAGGATTAAATGAGCCGAAGCTTTAATAACCAACCGCATCTGCCATCAGGCGAGCACTTGGAACATGGGAGCTGCAGTTACTGTGGTTGTTGTGAGTGCTGTTCATGTTAGAGCACAGCCTCATCAGCCTCACTGCCTGGTTCAAATCTAAGCTCTGTGTGAAATGGACAAACAGTTGCTTAACCCCATTAAGTCTCAGCTTCTATTATGGGGACAATAATAGACAATAATAAAAATATGCCTATCGCATAGGCTTGTGTGCAGATTGAATAATGGACTATATACTAGATACATAGCATAGATGCTGGCATCTAGAGAGAAGTCAGGAAATGCGAGCTACTGCTGTATTTCTTGGTGTGTGCTAGGCCTTTTTGTGCATGTGATATAATTTCATTTCCCTGCATCCAGTACAATAGGTAGGTGATATTAACCCCATCTTATAGATGAGGAGATTGATGCATGGGGCTGTTAAATATTTTATCCAAGTTCAGATTGTAGCTGAACTGGTAGACGCTATTCCATTAGGACACCTTGATACTTTTAGAATCTTTAGCATGTTCCTTTAGGCCCATCGGAAAAGGAGTTTTCAGTTGCACCCAGTTCACATCTATGTTGATTTCTACCAGAAGGGAACTAGAATCATCATCAAAAGTTAGAGCTGGAAGTAACTTTATTGAGTATCTGGAAAAGTCAGTTGCAATCTTGTGTTAGTCCCCTTGTCTGCTGTTAAAAACAAAACAACAATAACAAAAAATCCAATATACAAAACCTATGCCAAAATCCAATGTGACAAATGGGTAATTGTGGCTCTCTGCTTGCCTGGAGGAGAGTCGGGGGCGGCTCAAGCCTGTACCCCCACCTTTTCTAAAGGGCTTCACGAAGTTCCAAGGAACACACTTTGAAAACCACTGATCAGAAAACTCCTTTGACTGATGAGGAAACCAAGGGTAAAGGGATAAAGTGACTTTCCAGTGTCACACACCAAGAACTCACTGAATCCAGAGTTCGCAGTTCCTCCTGTGGCTGTCCTGGCTGCTAGTCACTGTTGTTGCCGCCGTCTTTTCCACAGCTGCTGGCCCCCACCCCAGGATGGTCTGCAGAGACATGATGCTTTCGCCACAACGTCTTGGTTGGTGAAAGCCTGTATTAATGTTCAGAGTACTGATAGCTAATTGCTCTTGTTATAATTTTCTGTGCTTTCCAAATTTTCCATAATAAATATGGAGTACCTTGATAATCAGCAAGAGATCATTTCAAAATGTTAAGTTGGTTGAAGGGAAAAGGCAATTTGTATGCCAGCCATGGAATGATCCCAAGTGGATGGACTTCTCTTGTCTTTTGATTTCTCTGGGTCACTTGTTGCCATAACTTTGGACTGGGTCTGGGGGTTGTTGCAAAGAGGTTGGTGCTAGTCTGCGAAGGTGAGCTTGCTTTTTATATGTTTATTTTTAATGCTGCCCCAAATAGGGCCAAGTATTGGAGACCTTCCTTCATCTGTCTCCAATCTATCGCTCTAATATTACCTCCCATAATTCTAGCCCCAAATGGCTAGTTGCCCAGTAACCAGACCAAGCCAATTGCTGCCTCTCTGTTTTTGTCCACATAGTTCCCTCTGTCTATGAAAGCTTTTTCCTTTCTCTCTACTTATCAAAGTACTGATATTGCAGAGAGGGTATAGCTCAAGTGGTAGAGCACATGCTTAGCATGCGTAAGGTTCTCGGTTCAATCCTTAGTACCTCCTCTAAAAATAAATAAATGAATAAGCCTAGTTACCTCTCCTCTCAAAAAAAAAAAAGAAAGAAAAAAGAAAAGAGACAAAGTAATGATATTGCCTTTCAAAAGCCTAGAAATCACATCGACTTCACTCTTTCACTGATTCACTCATCCAACAACAAATATTTATTAAATACCTCGATATGCCAGGAACTGACTCTTCTAGGCCCCGGAGCTAGAATGGTGAACAAACTAGACATGACCTCTGCAACTATAGAAGTAAATCGTCAGTGACAGAGACATACTGAACAACTCAGCCTATGACTTAGCACATCCATCCATCCATCCATCTGATTTCAAAAGGTGGGAAGTGCTATGAAAGAGAATACCAAGTTGGTCCTATTTTAGAATGAGTGGTCAGAAGGCCTCCTTGGAGAGCTACCTTTAAGCTGATACTGTGGAAGGTTTGGGACTGGTGAGGGAAGAACATTTTAGACAGAAGAGACCCTCAGTTAGAAGAGCTAGAGTAACTTAAGGAAGCTTAGTGAGGCTGGAGCAGAGCGAGTGACTCAGCACCATCCAACACACTATCTTACATATTTTATTTATTATCTGTTTCCCTCCGCTAGAGCATAGACTTCATGAAAGAAGGTGTTTTTGTCTGATTTATTTACTTTATCCCTTGTGCCTTAAACAGTGCTTTAAATGTCATAGGCACTCAATAAATATGTTTGAATGAATCTAGTGCGATGTAAGGAAATGAGAGAGGCAGGTAAGGGTGAAGTCATTTGGGGCCAGTGAGGTATGATGGGTCCTTGGACTGTAGTCTACTTGCAGTAGTGAGTACCAGGTACTGTAACACAAGAATTACATGATCTGATAGATACTTTTTAAGGCTTACTCTGACTTTTGCATGGGAAAAGAAGTAGAGATCAGCAGCTGGAGAGTCAAGGTAACTTGAAAGGGTATTATAATAATTTGGTAGGAGGGATCGTGGTGCTGGCACAGTGTAGACAGAGAGAAAGGGGTGAATTTATGATATATTTTGGAGGCTGAAATAATAACTTGCTGATGGATGTTGTGGCAGACACTTCAGATTGATTTCCCAGTCCATTCTCCCCTTCTTCCTTACCAATATAATGTCATATATTGTAAATTATATAACATTTATAATGTAAATGTTGTTTGGGGTGACAACATGCCTAACAAATAAAATGCATCTATAGCTCCCGGCTTCTCTTGCAACTAAGGGTGGCCATAAGACATAGTTCTAGCCAACAAGATGTCAGAAGAAATCTCTGGGCAGGGAGTCTGGGAAAGCTCTTTAAAAGGAAATGAATTCAACTGCTAAATGACTTTTCCCCTTTGCTCTCCCTTGTCTTCCTTCCTGGACGGCAGAGTCTGGTGTGGAACAGCCATCTTGGAGGACAAGGGGCAGCGAGATGAGGACTGGGGAAACAGAAAGGTAGGAGCCCGCTTGCTGATGACATTCAGAGCTGCCATCCCACCCGGACTGCCTATAGTCGCACTTCTTTCATGAAAAATATAGTCAAACTCTTACTTGGTTCAATCACTTCAAGTTAAATTTTATTTATGTATTACTAAATTTTTATAAATTACTGAATTTCTCATTGATTCAGATTGGATGTAGGGGAAGCAAGAAAGAAGAATCAAAGATGATTTTAATTTTTTTTTTGTTTCCCTGAACAACTATTTAAAGGGAAAACTGGGTGAAGAATAGAATTTAAGTGGTGGTGGTGTATACTGGAATGTGTATGTGTTTGTGTATGTGTGTGTGTGAGAGAGAGAGAGAGACAGAGAGAGATGGAATCTAAGACTTCAGGTTTGGATATGTTAAGCTGAAGATACCTGTAAAACATCGATGTGGTGATATTAACCAAAGAGTTGATTATTCAACCCAGTTGTTCAAAGAAGAGTCTGGGATAGAGATAGCAATCTGGCAGTTGTCAGCACAGAGATAGTAGTTAAAGTCATGTAAGTGGCTGAGATTTCCCAGAGCGGGAACGTATAAAGATGGAAGAGAAAAGGGCCCATGGCTCAACGCAGAGCCCATCGACATTTAGAAAACAGGAAAGAGAAGACTTGCTGTAAGAGAGACTAAGTAGGAATAGCCAGTGGGAGGAATCAGGAGGGCAAAGCAGTGCCAACAAAGCGTGCTTCCTGGGCCACCCTCATTTCTGCCTGGCACTTTGGTGTCATGTGCCACCCATTTGGCACTTTATATATCTTCTGTTGGGATGTGGTTTCTCTGTGTGTGTGTCAGCTGCATTCCCTCTGTGATGCGTGAGGCTTGTGGTCCAGGGACTGGAGTCATGCCTGACTCTGGAATTCCCTATACCAGTCCTGGCACTTGACCTTGAGGAGATGCTCCAAAATGCCTGGCAGTGATGACCTGTGCCCACTGGGGTCACAGAGAGAAAAAGAGGGTGTTTAGAAAAAGAATTTCGTTTGGAAAAATTGGAAAGTTTGCTCAATCTCACGCTGAAAGGCTCATTGAGCAGTAGAATGAGATTCATTATCTGAACAGGGGGGAGCTTTTTAAAGAATAATTTCAAAGCACAGGTTGTTTGCAGGTCAAAGATCTTGGAAAAGCCAGACAGATTGAAGCAAAGATGGTGCTGAGTCCAAGAATTTCACTGAGGCAGGGTTCAGATGGAGAGGATAGCTTTGCCTGGAAACACTAAAGGCTTATATCAGAAGCTGAGCAGAAAGGACAGAGTGTTTCCAGAGCTGGATGAGCTCATGGTGGCTGCTGAGGTGAAATAAAGAGGAAGGAACTATGAAATTGTGGGTACGTGCTGACCCACAGCCATGGCATTGGTTTATTCTTGGGATTTCCTGCAGTGGTCTTTGGCATGAAGTGTTGATGTCTTGCTATAGAGGCCTAGGGTGTGGGCTAGAAGGCCAAACTCCTGGTCATCCATCCATTCATCCATCCATTCATTCATTCATATTTGCTATGCAATCACTATATGCCAAGTCCTTGGGACAGTGGTACAAAAAACAAAAATGTACCTAATTTCATGAAACTCATATTCTAGTGGGGGTGGTTTGTGTGTCTGTGAGAACACTAACTAGAAAAAATCAACAAGATAATTTTCATCTAGTGATAAGAGCTATGAAGAAAATCAGACACATTGATACCTGGAACTAGAGCTGCCCTTGGACGGGCAGTGTGTCACCAGTGAGCTTGTTGACATGCAGAATCTCAGGAGGCACTCCAGACCTACTGAATTAGAATCTGCATTTCAACCAGACCCCTCCACCCCCTGCTCCTTCCGGTATTTCTATACATGTTAATGTTTGAGAGGCACTGTGCTAGAGAATGTTTGGAACGGAAGATCCTTGAGGTTGGTGGGTTTTGGAAGGCTTCTCTGTGGAGGTGACATCTGAGCTGAGACCTAGGTGAAGAGAAGACATCCATGTCAAGACCTGGGGGCAGAGCATTCCAGGCAGTGGGAATGAAAATTTCAAGGAGCTGGATGGTAATCAGCTTCTTATGGTCAAACCCCCCAAAATCTGTTTCATAATCAGGGACTCTTGTCTCCTCCCCTCACCTGGCTGATCCTTATCCAGCTGTCAGACCTCAGTCTAAACCTTAGTTCCTCTTGGAGGTGACCCTGACCTCCAAACACCCTCTCCATCCCCACCCCATCCTAATCCTGCATGAGAGTGGTCTGGTTATTTATTTCCCCAACATGTCTGCCGTTTTGGTACCAAATAGGTACTGTATGATTTTGTTTAACAATGATTTGAATAAAAGTGAGAAACCCAGGATGATGGAAGAAGCAGGCTTTAAAAGCAGTCAGATCACTGTTTTGTTGAGGGGCAAGGTCAGTAACTCTTGAAATCTCCTGGCCTTTGCTTGGAGAGCTGCACCCTAACCGACTCTGCATGCCACCAGTCCTCATTCATTTCCTTCCTCTTGACTCTCATCACTCTGTGATCTGTGCTCAGATCCTCCCTAAATATTCCCTTTTGGTCAGGGATTGTGGTTCCAGCGGAGGACACCAGCTATCAGAAAGGACATGCAATTAAATAAACTACAGGGCAACATACTTGATGTCAGTTACACAGCTGAGAACAAGCGACTGGCTGGACCTCAGAAAGGGGCTTGGCACTAAATTCAGGAGGGATTTAGGAAGTTCCATTTGAGCTGGCTCTTAAGAGAGGAGGAAGACTTTTTTTTTTCAGGTTTAAAGGGGTTGTGGTGAGGTAGTGGTCACTGGATGGTGGCGGTGGTGGAGGGTAGTGGTGGTGGTGGTGGTGAAAATGGCAGTGGTCATGGTAATCATAGTGGCAGTGAAGTATATTCTAGACAGAGGCCACTGTGTGGCTGTTGAGTATGAAGTCATGGAAGACCTCACTAAGTCCCCAAACCTGGAGAAGTTCACTCAGTAGGGACACTGCAGATAAGATAGATAGGCAGATGGGAGCCAGAGATAAGGGGCTTATGGGCCAGGATGGACCTATTTTCATTAAACGTTTAAGTAGATGGTGGATTTGGTTAGCTTTGGTTTGTGGGAAAAGAACTGGCAGCACTGGAGAGGGGTGAGATCACCTATCATAACTGCCTCTCATTTTTACAACTGTCTAAACCAAAAGGAAAGGGTCACAGGAGTGTCTGGAAATCCACGTGCACAAATCCACTTCTCCGATGTGGTATATTTATACAATGGAATACTACTCAGCCATAAAAACTGACAACATAACACCATTTGCAGCAATGTGGATGCTCCTGGAGAATGTCATTCTAAGTGAAGTAAGCCAGAAGGAGAAAAAAAAATACCATATGAGATCGCTCATATGTGGAATCTAAAAAACAAAAACAAAAACAAACAAACAAAAAAAGCATAAATACAAAACAGAAATAGACTCATAGATATAGAATACAAACTTGTGGTTGCCAAGGGGGCGGAGGGTAGGAAGGGATAGACGGGATTTCAAAATTGTAGAATAGATAAACAAGACTATACTGTATAGCACAGGAAAATACACACAAGATCTTATGGGAGCTCACAGAGAAAAAAATGTGACAATGAATATATATATGTTCATGTATAACTGAAAAATTGTGCTCTACACTGGAATTTCACGCAACATTGTAAAATGATTATAAGTCAATAAAAAATGTTTAAAAAAAAACCCCAAAAAGCCCCCAAATCCACTTCTCCTTCAATCCAGCATCCTAGAGAAGGAAAGAATGTCCCCTTTCATGGAGGATATTGAAATCACTCAAGAAAGATGCTCTGTTATCTCAATCATGGAATTGTCTTCATCTACTCACTCACTCATTCATTCATTACTCATTCAAAATATTTTTATTGGACGCTTGCAAAGTTCAATACCTAGGATATAGGATGGCCCAAAGAACGATAAGCTACCTCCTCAGCCCTCAAGGAGCTTACAATTTAGCTGATACACAAGAGGCAGGAACACACAGAAGTGAGAGTCAGGGGTCCTGGGTGCTGTCCTTGGCTTTGCAGGAGAAGACTTGTTCATTCAACACTTTCTTCCTGTTCTTACTGTGATCCTAGCGCTCTGCTGGAGAACACAAGGCTGAAGAAAACAGTTCTGGTTCTAAGGAGCAAGAACTTTGCAATCCAGGGAGGAAACTTCTCCAGACCTCTTCCCTCTTCATCTAAATTATTTATGTGTCTGTCTGTGTATGGGTCGGTGTGGAAGCGTTGATCCGATGATTTTTAAGGTCCTTTACAAATTTAATATTTTATGACAAATAGATCCAAGATTTATAGAGAGAGCTTGGATTATAAATAAAGCCAAAGTTTATGCTAGCTTTGCTGGATGCTCTAAAAATTAATTACAGATACTCCCTGCTCCCCTCTTGCATACACAGAGTGAATAATCTAGGATCCTTGTAAAAGGCTTATGGGGGATTTGTGAGGGGATGTCAGTCAGTGATCAAACGTGAGTGCAGGGCATGGGACCATCCAGGGGATTTCAGGACCCCGAGGGGGTGTGGCTAGGGACATTGTCATATAACGAAAGACCCACTTGTTCTCTGTTCACGCTGGGGAATGTGGTTTGAGTGGCTGTGGGAACTTAAACTTTCCGCCTTTCTGTTAACTGAAATCTCAGCCCCCAAGTGTGTCACAGTGACTTCTCTGACACAGCACATGGAGCTTGGCTCTCTCCTGATGTCTGTTTTTCTTGCTCAGAGAAGAAGAAATGGCCTAAACAATCCTCATGGGCCAAGAGTTGAAAAAAAATATTTGTTTTGGTTTTGCTGAGCACTTTCCCTATTAAAACATGAACATTTGAGGGAAAGGGAGATCCCCATTGTGTACATTTGATACATTTATGCTCAACAAATCAATTGTTTTTAAGGAGCGACTTTATGTCCAAGAAGGCTATAGAAAGCTTTACTGCGCCTTTCCTTTCAAACAGGAAGTCACATTTTGCCAAAAGTAAACAAATGTGAACCCGGGAAGGTTTGTTTAGTTTCTGACGCTGACTT